TAGTTCACTTAAAAATTCCTCAGCTTGTAGTTCACTATAACATTCCTCAGCTTGTAGTTCACTATAACATTCCTCAGCTTGAAGTTCACTATAACATTCCTCAGCTTGTAGTTCACTATAACATTCCTCAGCTTGTAGTTCACTATAACATTCCTCAGCTTGTAGTTCACTATAACATTCCTCAGCTTGTAGTTCACTATAACATTCCTCAGCTTGTAGTTCACTATAACATTCCTCAGCTTGAAGTTCACTATAACATTCCTCAGCTTGAAGTTCACTATAACAATCCTCAGCTTGTAGTTCACTATAACATTCCTCAGCTTGTAGTTCACTATAACATTCCTCAGCTTGTAGTTCACTTAACATTCCTCAGCTTGAGTTCACTATAACATTCCTCAGCTTGAGTTCACTATAACATTCCTCAGCCTGTAGTTCACTATAACATTCCTCAGCTTGTGGTTCACTATAACATTCCTCAGCTTGTAGTTCACTATAACATTCCTCAGCTTGTAGTTCACTATAACATTCCTCAGCTTGAAGTTCACTACAACATTTCTCAGCTTGAAGTTCACTATAACATTCCACAGCTTGTAGTTCCCTATAACATTCCTCAGCTTGTAGTTCACTATAACATTCCTCAGCTTGTAGTTCACTATAACATTCCACAGCTTGTAGTTCACTATAACATTCCTCAGCTTGAAGTTCACTATAACATTCCACAGCTTGTAGTTCACTATAACATTCCTCAGCTTGTAGTTCACTATAACATTCCTCAGCTTGTAGTTCACTATAACATTCCTCAGCTTGAAGTTCACTATAACATTCCTCAGCTTGTAGTTCACTATAACATTCCCAGCTTGAAGTTCACTACTAACATTCTCAGCTTGTAAGTTCACTATAACATTCCTCAGCTTGTAGTTCACTATAACATTCCTCAGCTTGTAGTTTACTATAACATTCCTCAGCTTGTAGTTCACTATAACATTCCTCAGCTTGAAGTTCACTATAACATTCCACAGCTTGTAGTTCACTATAACATTCCTCAGCTTGAGTTCACTATAAATTCCTCAGCTTGTAGTTCACTATAACATTCCTCAGCTTGAAGTTCACTATAACATTCCTCAGCTTGTAGTTCACTATAACATTCCTCAGCTTGAAGTTCACTATAACATTCCTCAGCTTGAAGTTCACTATAACATTCCTCAGCTTGTAGTTCACTATAACATTCCTCAGCTTGTAGTTCACTATAACATTCCTCAGCTTGTAGTTCACTATAACATTCCACAGCTTGTAGTTCACTATAACATTCCTCAGCTTGTAGTTCACTATAACATTCCTCAGCTTGAAGTTCACTATAACATTCCTCAGCTTGTAGTTCACTATAACATTCCTCAGCTTGAAGTTCACTATAGCATTCCACAGCTTGTAGTTCACTATAACATTCCTCAGCTTGAAGTTCACTATAACATTCCTCAGCTTGTAGTTCACTATAACATTCCTCAGCTTGAAGTTCACTATAACATTCCTCAGCTTGAAGTTCATATAACATTTCATAGCTTGGTTCACTATACTTTTCCTCTGTTGAAGTCACTTTAACCAACCTCAGCTTGTAGTCACTATCAACATTCCTCAGCTTGTAGTTCACTATAACATTCCTCAGATGATTAACCCCTAGCCACTACAACATTCATCAGCTTGTGTTCAGACTATAAACTTTACCAAGCTTGAAGTTCACTATAACATTCTCAGCTGGTGTTCACTATAGCAGTTCCACAGCTTGTAACGATTCAACTATAACATTCATCAGCTGTAGTTCACATAATCAGTCTCTGTTGAAGTTACTTTAATAACACTTCCTCAGCTTGTAGTTCTCATAAACATTCCTCAGCTTGTACCAGCTGCAACTATAACATTCCTTGCTTGAAGTGTCACTATTAACATCCACAGCTTGAAGTTCACATATAACAATCTCAGCTTGTGTTCACTATAACTTCCAAGCTTGTAGCTTCACTATAAACATCCTCAGTTGTGTTCACTGTAACATTCAACAGTCTTGTAAGTTCACTCTATAACATTCTCAGCTTGAAGTTCATATAACTTTCCTCAGCCTGTAGTTCACTATAACTTCCTCAGCTGTGGTTCACTATAAAGTCTCGTTGTAGTTCACTATAAACATCCTCAGTTGTAGTTCACTATAAACATTACCAAGCTTAGTAGTTACTATAACATTCTCAGCTTGTAGTTTCACTATAATTACTTCAGCTAGAGTACTATAAACATTCCCAGCTTGTAGTTCACTTAAATTCTCAGCTTAGTTACTATAACATTCCACAGCCTTGTAGTTCACTATAAACATTCCTCAGCTTGTAGTTCATCTAAACATTCCAAAGCTTGTAAGCTTCCACTATACAACATTCCTCGGCTTGTAGTTCAATACTTCCTCAGCTTAGTAGTTCACTATAACATTCATCAGCTTGTAGTTCACTATAACAATTCCTCAGCTTGTAGCTACACATATACGTTCCAGTCAGCTTGTAGTTCACTATAACATTCCTCAGCTTGTAGTTCACTATACATGCTCAGCTTGATGTTCACTAGAACTTACATCAGCTTGAAGTTCACTATAACATTCTTCAGCTTGAGTTCACTATAACATTTACCACAGCTTGAAGTTCACTATAACTTCATCAGCTGTGTAGTTCACTATAACATTCCTCAGCTTGTAGTTCACTATAACATCCTCAGCTTGTTAGTTCACTATCATAAATTTCCTATCAGCTTGTAGTTCACTATAACATTCCTCAGCTTGTAGTTCAAATATAACCATTTCCACAAACTTGTGTTCACTATAACATTCCTCAAGCTTGTAGCTCACTATAACATTTCCTAGCTTAGTTTCACTATAACTTTCCTCAGCTTGTAGTCACTTTAACATCCTCAGCTTGAGTTCACTATAACATTCCACAGCTTGTAGTTCACTATAACATTCCTCAGCTTGAAGTTCACTATAACATTCCACAGCTTGAAGTTCACTATAACATTCCTCAGCTTGTAGTTCACTATAACATTCCTCAGCTTGTAGTTCACTATAAACATTCCTCAGCTTTTAAATTCACTATAACATTCCTCAGCTTGAAGGGTTTACTATAACATTCCTCAGCTTGTAGTTCACTATAACATTCCTCAGCTTGAAGTTCACTATAACATTGTTCCACAGTTGGCCACATAATTTGCATTTGGTTTGATCATCTGTGTGTCTGCCAGACTGTCAGAAGTACTTGTAACCAAACCTAAGCCAGACTACTACAACATCAGTCAGTCTGTGTGTCTGCCAAACTGTCAGAAGAACTTGTAACCAAGCCTAAGCCAGACTACTACAACATCAGTCAGTCTGTGTGTCTGTCAGACTGTCAGAAGTACTTGTAACCAAGCCTAAGCCAGACTACTACAACATCAGTCAGTCTGTGTGTCTTGCAGACTGTCAGAAGTACTTGTAACCAAGCCTAAGCCAGACTACTACAACATCAGTCAGTCTGTGTGTCTGTCAGACTGTCAGAAGTACTTGTAACCAAGCCTAAGCCAGACTACTACAACATCAGTCAGTCTGTGTCTGCCAAACTGTCAGAAGAACTTGTAACCAAGCCTAAGCCAGACTACTACAACATCAGTCAGTCTGTGTGTCTTGCAGACTGTCAGAAGTACTTGTAACCAAGCCTAAGCCAGACTACTACAACATCAGTCAGTCTGTGTGTCTGTCAGGGCTGTCAGAAGTATTGTAACCAAGCCTAAGCCAGACTATACAACATCAGTCAGTTTTGTGTGTCTGTCAGACTGTCAGAAGTACTTGTAACCAACCTAGCCAGATACTACAACATCAGTCAGTCTGTGTGTCTTGCAGACTGTCAGAAGTACTTGTAACCAAGCCTAAGCCAGAATACTACAACTTTAGTCGTCTGTGTGTCTGTCAGACTGTCAGAAGTACTTGTAACCAAGCCTTAAACCAGAATACTACAACATCAGTCAGTCTGTGTCTGCCAAACTGTCAGAAGAACTTGTAACCAAGCCTAAGCCAGACTACTACAACATCAGTCAGTCTGTGTGTCTGTCAGACTGTCAGAAGTACTTGTAACCAAGCCTAAGCCAGACTACTACAACATCAGTCAGTCTGTGTGTCTGCCAAACTGTCAGAAGAACTTGTAACCAAGCCTAAGCCAGACTACTACAACATCAGTCAGTCTGTGTGTCTTGCAGACTGTCAGAAGTACTTGTAACCAAGCCTAAGCCAGACTACTACAACATCAGTCAGTCTGTGTGTCTGCCAGACTGTCAGAAGTACTTGTAACCAAGCCTAAGCCAGACTACTACAACATCAGTCAGTCTGTGTGTCTGCCAGACTGTCAGAAGTACTTGTAACCAAGCCTAAGCCAGACTACTACAACATCAGTCAGTCTGTGTGTCTTGCAGACTGTCAGAAATACTTGTAACCAAGCCTAAGCCAGACTACTACAGCAGTCAGTGTATCTTGCAGACTGTCAGAAGTACTTGTAACCAAGCCTAAGCCAGACTACTACATCAGTCAGTGTATCTTGCAGACTGTCAGAAGTACTTGTAACCAAGCCTAAGCCAGACTACTACAACTTCAGTCAGTCTGTGTGTCTTGCAGACTGTCAGAAGTACTTGTAACCAAGCCTAAGCCAGACTACTACAACATCAATCTGTGTTTACATTTCAGGCTATTCCATAAATATATATATCTACGTTCATGTCACCATAACTTACAGATGTACCCAGACTTCCTTTTCAGAATCTTCTCTCTACAGGTAAGCTCTACCTCACTTCTGCCTTCACCCATGTTTATTTTTTTCCATATTTGTTGCATTTCTATATTCTCAACATTAACCTCTCAATCCACTACTAAAACCTCCTGCACCAGGAGTATTACCTCCTGTCTCTACATATAATACTATCTCAACCACCGATGTCTGACGTGTCTCCTACAGGAGGTGATGATGTACAACAACTGTGTGAGGCCGGCGAAGAGGAGTTTCTGGAGATCATGGCCCTGGTTGGCATGGCCTCCAAGCCCTTACACGTCAGGAGATTACAGAAGGCACTACAAGAGTGGGTCTCCAACCCTGGTGAGTACCCATTTTCTCCTGCCTTCCGTAGCTTCGTGTCCTCCCTGACGGGTCACTACAGTCGTAGTAGTGGCTGGTGCGCTGCTCTCCACCGCCTAGTAAGGGATCAGGCTAGTTTCGCACATCATATCCCGGCTAGGAAGCATCGTGCTTCGTCATCCCAGGACGCAGCTGCTAGGATCTATGCTGGCTTTGGGGACCAGAGCCTAGCAGGGAGCTATGGTATCTCAGGACCCCTGAACGATGCTAGCTCAGGACCCTGAACCATGTACCTAGACCTACCATGCTAGCTCAGACCCTGAACCATGCTAGCTCAGGACCCCTGAACCATGCTAGCTCAGGACCCCTGAACCATGCTAGCTCAGGGCCGTTGAACCATGCTAGCTCAGGGCCCCTGAACCACGCTAATTCAGGAGCCCTGAATCATGCAAGCTCAGAACCCCTGAATCATGCTAGTTCAAGTTCCCTGAACCACGCAAGTTCAAGACCCCTGAACCGTGCTAGCTCAGGATATCTGAACCATGCTAGTTCAGGGCCCATGAACCATGCTAGTTCAAGACCCCTGAGTCATTACAGGAACTATGCTAGTTCAGAAACTCTGAACCACGCTAAGAACTATGCTAGCTCAAGACCCTTCTACCATGCTAGTTCAGGATCCCCTAACCATGCTAGGATTCATCCTACTTCGTTACCCCTGAACCTTGCTAGGATTCATCCTGGTTCAAGAACCCTGAACCTTGCTAGGAACTATGCTAGTTCCGAACCCTTGAACAATTCTGGTTCAGAATCTTGCTAGGAACTATGCTACTTTAGAACCATGCTAGTTCATAACCCTGCTAGGAACCATGCTACTTTAGAGCCCTGCTAGGAACCATGCTAGTTCAGAACCCTCCTAGGAACCATGCTAGTTCAGAACCCTGCTAGGAACCATGCTAGTTCAGAACCCTGCTAGAAAACATGCTAGTTCAGAACCCTGCTAGAAACCATGCTACTTTAGAGCCCTGCTAGGAACCATGCTGGTTCAGAACCCTGCTAGGAACCATGCTACTTTAGAGCCCTGCTAGGAAACGTGCTAGTTCATAACCCTCCTAGGAACCATGCTAGTTTAGAACCCTCCTAGGAACCATGCTAGTTCATAACCCTCCTAGGAAACATGCTAGTTCATAACCCTCCTAGGAACCATGCTAGTTCATAAACCCTCTAGGAACCATGCTAGTTATAACCCTCCTAGGAACCATGCTAGTTCATAACCCTCCTAGGAACCATGCTAGTTCATAACCCTCCTAGGAACCATGCTAGTTCATAACCCTCCTAGGAACCATGCTAGTTCATAACCCTCCTAGGAACCATGCTAGTTCATAACCCTCCTAGGAACCATGCTAGTTCAGAACCCTCCTAGGAACCATGCTACTTTAGAACCCTGCTAGGAACCATGCTACTTCACAACCCTGCTAGGAACCATGCTAGTTCAGAACCCTCCTAGGAACCATGCTAGTTCAGAACCCTGCTAGGAACCATGCTACTTATAACCCTGCTAGGAACCATGCTAGTTCAGAACCCTGCTAGGAACCATGCTACTTTAGAACCCTGCTAGGAACCATGCTATTCAAAACAAACCATGCTATTAAACCATGCTACTATACAACCCTGCTAGGAACCATGCTAGTTCAGAACCCTCCTAGGAACCATGCTACTTTGGAACCATGCTACTTTAGAACCCTGCTAGGAACCATGCTAGTTCAGAACCCTGCTAGGAACCATGCTACTTTAGAACCCTGCTAGGAACCATGCTACTTTACAACCCTGCTAGGAACCATGCAACTTCAGAACCCTGCTAGGAACCATGCTACTTTAGAACCCTGCTAGGAACCATGCTACTTTACAACCCTGTTAGGAACCATGCTAGTTCAGAACCCTCCTAGGAACCATCCTAGTTCAGAACCCTCCTAGGAACCATGCTACTTTAGAACCCTGCTAGGAACCATGCTAGTTCAGAACCCTCCTAGGAACCATGCTAGTTCAGAACCCTCCTAGGAACCATGCTAGTTCAGAACCCTCCTAGGAACCATGCTAGTTCAGAACCCTCCTAGAAACCATGCTATTTCAGAACCCTCCTAGGAACCATGCTAGTTCAGAACCCTCCTAGGAACCATGCTAGTTCAGAACCCTCCTAGGAACCATGCTAGTTCAGAACCCTCCTAGGAACCATGCTAGTTCAGAACCCTCCTAGGAACCATGCTAGTTCAGAACCCTCCTAGGAACCATGCTAGTTCAGAACCCTCCTAGGAACCATGCTAGTTCAGAACCCTCCTAGGAACCATGCTAGTTCAGAACCCTCCTAGGAACCATGCTAGTTCAGAACCCTCCTAGGAACCATGCTAGTTCAGAACCCTCCTAGGAACCATGCTAGTTCAGAACCCTCCTAGGAACCATGCTAGTTCAGAACCATGCTAGTTCAGAACCCTCCTAGGAACCATGCTACTTTAGAATCCTCCTAGGAACCATGCTAGTTCAGAACCCTGCTAGGAACCATGCTACTTTAGAACCCTCCTAGGAACCATGCTACTTTAGAACCCTCCTAGGAACCATGCTACTTTAGAACCCTCCTAGGAACCATGCTAGCTAGGTGGTCCCCAGCATCCTAGCATCTTGCTAGGCGTCTTCCCAATACAAATTTGCAATGTGTATTGATTTATATATATACATATGTACCATGTCAGTTTATATGTTTCAGACTTGAGGTAAGTTTATATAAATTCCTGGTGTCTGCAAGGTAAGTTTATATATATAAATTTCTGATGTGTATGAGAAATTACGTGATATACGAGGTATCTACATTATTATAAACATCTACTAGGTAGATATGTATATATCCACGAGGGATAGTAATATTTATATATATATATTATAATATTATATATTATATATATATATTAAATATATATATATATATATATAATTATCGACTAAGGACGAATTTGTAAGACGTAATGTATATAATTGTTTATATTTCTGGAGGATTGTGGGTAGAGTTGGGGTAAAGGTGTTTTATTTCGTGGACGTTTTGGATGAGCGAAACATCGCTCTGGTTCCTCTAGTTTGTTGGTGTTCAGCTAATTGTGGATGCAGGGGTTGAGTCACAGCTCCTGACGCCCGTCTCTTGTCGCCACCACTAGGTAATTTCTCTCTCCCTGCTCCATGAGCTTTGTCGTACCTCTTCTTAAAGCTGTGTGTGGGGATGCTGTGTATGTGTGAGGGGGAGGGGAGGGGGGTGGTCAGGGTGCAGTGTCGTACCTTTGCCAGCATGGCGAGGGAATTATACTGGTCAGTTGTTGTCCATCCCCCTCCCCTTGTAAAGTAGGGGGTGGGGGGATGGGGGAAAAGTGGAAGGGAGGATATGGGGAGAAGAGGTGGTGGGAGACAGGGGGTAGAAGGGGTGAGAGAGGGAGGGGGAGGGAGATCGAAGAAGAGGAGGGGGAGGATATCTTGACCATGCACCCCCTCCCTCCCATATCCCCCTCCCTCCCATATCCCCCTCCCCACCTTCTTGCTTCTCCTCTCCCCATTTTTTACCTCAAACATCCCCCCACCAAGTATATTTGGATGTGGAAACGTATTCAGATCCCTCTCCCCATTGTGATGGCCAGTGTGGGCCAGGGTGGCCCGGTGTGGCCCACACTGCTCCACAATGGCCCGCCTGCAGAGAGGCTAAGGCAGTAATATCAGACGATAAATCCATTTTTCTCAGTGATCTTTTGACAGCAGAATTAAATACCAGTGGTAGTGAGACCAGTGGTGGTGAGACCAGTGGTGGTGAGACCAGTGTTGACCAGTGGTGGTGAGACCAGTGTTGACCAGTGGTGGTGAGACCAGTGGTGGTGAGACCAGTGTTGACCAGTGGTGGTGAGACCAGTGGTGGTGAGACCAGTGTTGACCAGTGGTGGTGAGACCAGTGTTGACCAGTGGTGGTGAGACAGTGGTGTGAGACCAGTGTTGACCAGTGGTGGTGAGACCAGTGGTGGTGGACCAGTGTTGACCAGTGGTGTGAGACCAGTGGTGGTGTGACCAGTGGTGTGAAACCAGTGTTGACCAGTGGTAGTGAGACCAGGTGACCAGTGGTAGTGAGACCAGTGTTGACCAGTGGTAGTGAGACCAGTGTTGACCAGTGGTAGTGAGACCAGTGTTGACCAGTGGTAGTGAGACCAGTGTTGACCAGTGGTAGTGAGACCAGTGTGACCAGTGGTATGGACCAGTGGTAGTGAGACCAGTGTTGACCAGTGGTAGTGAGACCAGTGTTGACCAGTGGTAGTGAGACCAGTGTTGACCAGTGGTAGGGTAGTGAGACCAGTGTTGACCAGTGGTAGTGAGACCAGTGTTGACCAGTGGTAGTGAGACCAGTGTTGACCAGTGGTAGTGAGACCAGTGTTGACCAGTGGTGAGTGAGACCAGTGGTAGTGTGACCAGTGGTAGTGAGACCAGTGTTGACCAGTGGTAGTGAGACCAGTGTTGACCAGTGGTAGTGAGACCAGTGGTAGTGAGACCAGTGTTGACCAGTGGTAGTGAGACCAGTGTTGACCAGTGGTAGTGAGACCAGTGTTGACCAGTGGTATGTGAGTGTGACCAGTGTTTGGACCAGTGGTAGTGAGACCAGTGTTGACCAGTGGTAGTGAGACCAGTGTTGACCAGTGGTAGTGAGACCAGTGGTAGTGAGACCAGTGTTGACCAGTGGTAGTGAGACCAGTGTTGACCAGTGGTAGTGAGACCATGGTTGAGTGTGAGACCAGTGTTGACCAGTGGATGTCGAGACCAGTGTTGACCATGTGGAGTGTGAGACCAGTGTTGACCAGTGGTGTGAGACCAGTGTTGACCAGTGTAGTGAGACCAGTGTTGAACCAGTGGTAGTGAGACCAGTGTTGACCAGTGGTAGTGAGAAGTGACCAGTGGTAGTGAGACCAGTGTTGACCAGTGGTAGTGAGACCAGTGTTGACCAGTGGTAGTGAGACCAGTGTTGACCAGTGGTAGTGAGACCAGTGTTGCCCAGTGGTAGTGAGACCAGTGGTTGGACCAGTGGTAGGTTGAGACCAGTGTTGACCAGTGGTAGTGAGACCAGTGTTGACCAGTGGTAGTGAGACCAGTGTTGACCAGTGGTAGTGAGACCAGTGTTGACCAGTGGTAGTGAGACCAGTGGTAGTGAGACCAGTGTTGACCAGTGGTAGTGAGACCAGTGTTGACCAGTGGTAGTGAGACCAGTGTTGACCAGTGG